AGATGTGTGTCTGGTTGCTATGGTTTTTGTGACGTTCAGCGTGTAGGGACGCACGTGCGCCTAGAATGTCGATGCCAGAGTTATAACCTTTGATGTCCCGAGATGTGCGTCCTTTTGTTGAATTACCTTGATTTAACGCGGGGTATAACATCTTCTGATGACAGACGCGTTAAATATGGCCGTGTTTCATTGATAAAACTGAAATCACTTACAAATTAAAATTACATTTTAGTAGTTCTTCTTAAATGTTACGTCTCGACCACAATCTATAAAAGGATTACATAGCTTTTTTTTAAATACCAAGTTTTAAAAAGAGAAACACTCGTTAAGGTAAATATATATTTATAAATTGATTATTATTGCAAAACTTTGGTTATGTAAAGGTTCAAAAAGTTAAAAAATATATAATTTTAATTAATAGACTATTTTAACAGAAAAAAGAAATGTAACTGTATGCCCGGCGTTACGAAAAAAAACCCGTCCAGTAGGTTCCAATTTTGATATTCAAATAGTTATACTTTGAAATGCTTATACCTATTCTTATGAAACAATGCTTTCTTAATTTCTTAATTTTACCTTTTAATCTTCTTAATGGCTTCAATATTCAAATGATTATATATTTAAACCCTAATAGTAATTTTAAGCTTAGAAACCTCACTTTTTTAATCAGTTCATCCTAAATCGTGGTATTATCTTTATATGAGGCCTCGTTTGGTGAATGGATTGGAAAAGATGCGGATTTTAGAATGTTTCATATATTTCTGGCAGTATATCTCACAATCTAACGTCCCAATTTTTTAAAAATAACTAATTGTGAATAATAAAATATAAAAAAGTATTCTATAAATGCACAAATAATAATGAATAATAATAATAATAATAATAATAATAATAATAATAATAAATTTTTAAAAGAAACACTAAAATAATAATAATAATAATAATAAATTTGAATGAAAAAAATGTTATCACGAAAGTGTGTTAATAATAATAATAGTAATAATAATAATAACAATAATAATAATAATAATAATAATGATGATGATGATGATGATGATGATGATGATGATGATGATGATGATGATGATGATGATGATGATGATGATGATGATGGTGATGATGATGATGATAATGATAATAATAATTACGCCACAGAAAAAGCCTTATTATACTATTTGATTTGTTGGGTCAATAATGGTCATCAATTAGGTATTAAATTAGATCATAGAGGTACTGTATCCTTTTCTGAAAACTGTTTTAAGTACGGTACATGGTATTTTTTAAGTAAATGAAATTTTTTTTTTATTGCAAATGCTTTTTCAAGGGATTTAAAAAATTTATAGAATTTAACTGGGGAGTAGTTTGAGAGACCAGATTTTATGTTTTGTACATAAGTAATACGTGCCGCAACTTTATCCCGTCTGTGAACATACAGTTTGATAAAGCAAAATATATGACGAAATGGAAATGAACAGAAATTTAGGAGCCTTTTAAGAGAGTAAAGCTCAGTGGCCCATCTAGAAATCTTGGGGTGCTGATGGGGGCGCGAATGCGAAGTGGGGAGGGGTCGATGATCAGTTCACGAGCACTAACTCGCAAAATAAGGTGATTTTAGGTGATTTTTAACTATTTGCATTTGACTGGGGGGAAAGTAATTTTTGGAGGGGCGTGTGCCTCCCCCCGCACCCCTAGATACGCCACTGGTTAAGGTGCATTCACATCGGATCCGAACCGAATATCGGACCGCTTTTCCGATACGCTGAACGCAAGCGTTCCTATTCTTACACAATGCTTCAATTTTCTGGTCGCTTCGTCCCCGATCAAAAAATTCGGATTCGGTGTGAATGCACCTTTAGTTAACACATCTGGCATATATACTTTCTGCACAATTATCTAAACCTTTATCATAGAGAATGATATCCGAAATATGAAATATAGTAGACCTACGGTTGGTTTTATCGTCTTTGTTCGTAGGCGTATATCGTGATATCGTGGTTTAATTTGACAATTTCACTACGAGTGTGGGTGGTGAAAAATTATTGAATAAACTTCTATATTCAATACAAATTAGCAAACAAAACGTTTGTGTACAGACTTGAATTTCTCTAGAAATAAAATGTAAAAGCATTTTTTAAGTGCATTCAGGCCTACTCATGACTTATTCAGGCACAAATGACTTATAAAAGCGGAAGCGAGTATTTTGGATACAAAGGCCTGATTGATTCAAGGTTGTTCGGATTACTTGTATGAAAAGGTATTTCTCTATTGTAGATACCAGGTACCATGCCCGTATACAAATAGGCAAAATATAAAGTTGAATGATTTTTTTTCTTATTTTGAGACTGTTGTAGTTGTTGTGATACAATAAAAAATAAATAAATTTCCCCTTTAAATAGGAATTATTTGACCACATTAAGAAAGTGCCCCTGTCCCCAGGACTTGGCCGTAGTGCTAAAAGATTTCCCCCGTTTCACGGAAAATTGTCCCCTTAACAGGGGTGTCCCCTGCGTAGGGGTGTCCCAAACTAAGGGTCTATTGTACGTTGTTTTTAAATGTCAAGTTTATAGTTGTATTCTCTGTAATCAATCGAATTTATGTAGCCTACATAGGTAGACCAGTGTAAAATTCCCATCAAACACAAATAACATTGAAAAATATAATTTGTCGTCCTATTTAGACCTACAACACACGTTCCAATATATATTATGTGTGTTGCTCCTAGATGATAGATGACGTTGTATTTAGTAGCGTATTCACTCTTATTAAATTTCAAATTGGTCTCTTAAAATAATATGCAAGCCTTGTTATTGACCGATGAAGCAATAGTAGGCCTATAATTCACTGGTAAGTTACCCAATCACAAGAGATCCTCACTTGTTATGATGTTATGATTTATAATATGAACTAGTGATTTATGGGTTGAATAGCTTGGTGACACTGGCTGTAAGTGAGGCTATTCGCATTTATGAGAAACCGGCCTGCACAGCAAAGGCGCAAGTGTTTGCATATGCAAAATCGGCCGAGTGTTAAGGGCTAGATGGCCGGAAATTGCCCTCTCAGACTTATAATTTGAATAGCTTTCTTTATATCTCCATAAAAAAATTGAACAATTTAGGCCACCCCTCCTCCTTGAATCCGCTACTGATTTTCGAACGAAGTCGGTCGAGATCGCTTCCACGATCTCAATGAATTACTGTATTTATCATGAGGGTTTATCCTTGATATTCCTATAGTAGCCCGGAAATGATACTCCAGCTGTGGCAGGTCCAGGAAGTTGAAATAGAGGGGACCCAGGGAGGGTCTTGCACAAATGGAGTGTCAACCCACCTCAGCCCAACAACGATTGATTTATTTTTTTTAAATATGATTATGTCACCACTAGATGGCAGGAAATGACATTTCAGGTTAAAAGTTGAATACAATTTAGTCTGTTTTCTCCATTTTTTGATATTTTGAAAAATTTAGGAGGTTGGGGGCCAGTGCTGACTGGGCTCCACCTTGAATCCGCTACTTTTTTTATTAAATGCATTTTTTACAACCAACTACAGTGTACTGTAAATTCTGTAGTTACCCTTTAGAGAACTTTATTTTAATAAATGGCCAAATTTAGTATCTTATTGTATTCGTTATTAACTTAAATGCTATATATTACGCTAGTTTGAAGGTTTACTGTAAGCCAATCAGTTACACTTAGATCTTCATGGCTATAAAAAGAACTAGAGCGTCGCCCCAGTGTGCCTACCTCCACCCTATGCCTAAATACAGAATTCACGGAAGGCGGGCGATTCCATTGGTTTTTTTTTCTTCATGCTCGAGGGTAAGTTTATAAGAAACTTTACAGACACGCGTATACAGACGTCAATCATCAACTGGTTGCTTAAATGAAAAAGGGAACTTGTATTTTAAAGTTAGTTTGAAAATGAAAAAAAAATCTATATTGTATAATAACAATAATAGGTCGATTTATAAGGCGCAAAAAAGAATGTCTATAATAATAATAATAATAATAATAATAATAATAATAATAATAATAATAATAATAATAATAATAATAATAATAATAATAATAATAATATAATAGAGGGCCAATTCCGCCTCAAAAAAGGTATTAAATCAACTGGAAAAACAACAGCCATCAACTCCAGTTAAACTCCTTAATATCTTCTGTACTGGTGCGACACTGGTGATTCCATTATTTGATAATGATAAGAAATCACCCTTTCTCGCTACCCACCACTCCACTAAAAATGATGATGAACAATTCATTGGTTTTTGTGTGTATGTGTGTGTAAAACAATTAGATAGACAAACCACAGCAGTGATAGCATTTTCGTCTGAGGTAATTACTAAGACGTATAATAAAGATGAACACAATGTAGACATCATTTTTGACACACATGACTAAACGTTACAATATGCACAATACATATTCAATTTAAAATGATACTATAATTCGAGATTTATATAGGTGTATATAACGATAATAAATATTCTTTCATAGACCTTGGTGCTCTATCATGTTCATAACAATCCATTTCAATGTTTTAAAAAATGGTGTCTAACGTTAGTCTAATGATAAATGCATTTCATGCATATCTGAAAAATGATTGAAGACACGTAGTGTCACTGGTAAAGCATTATGCTTAGCGTTTTTCCATCAACCCATTTAGCTTATGATTTATGGGTGTGGGCTGGAGGTGGGAGGGGCGTGCGGACCCCCCACCCCACCCTAACACCAAATTAGTTCCACTAAGTGGGTTAAAAATATAAGTGACCTTTAAGTTTTCATTGAATAGAGATAACTTCCGTTTTCTGGGATTTAGTTCCGTATTCACATTTTTCGCATCCACAGGCCGAAACCAACATACGCCTCTGTTATTTTTGTGTATACTTTTTGTACTTTAGTCTAGGTCTATAATATTGATGACAAGCATTAAAATCACGAAGGACACATGAGAGTTATTAGGGCCGATGTACGCACACACCAGTCTATCCGGAAATTTATCCGAAATATAAGTTGAGCTGAATAGGTTATAGGGGCCTATGTAAAACTGAAAATGAGGAAGACAGTCATGTAAATCTACCAAAAAACCTACTTTAACTTTTTAAAGGTAATATAAACACATGTTACTCACAATGTTGTCAGCTCTGATGTAAGCCTACACTTTTTTTTAAATAACAGTTCGGAAAATCCTTTTTATGCCTATTGTCGATACCTGGTGGCAATCCCGTATCGAACCCAAATATGTTGTAGGCCTATCACTTGAATGGACAGAAATTTTATATCTGAGATCACTTGACGTCACTGATTTGTGTGTTTGGCAATTGATATACGAAACACAATGGTATACTTAAATTAGAATACCGGATTTTTTACACAAACCAGGTACTGCTACTGCGCAGATTTGGGACTGAATTGTAATGTCTTTTTTTTATGTCCTTAGTTTAGATGGTGAATAAACCAATTCGCTCGCTCTGTTCAAATTATTTTAAACGGCTACAGTAAATTGGTACCCGTTTATGGTAGTTTACTCAATGGAGCTAATAAAATAAAATTGTAGAGCGTGATTTAGAAGCATTACGCTCTAGAAAGCCACCACCTGTGAACATTTCCCAACAGACAAACAGTGCCGCGGCGGCGCAGGCCGTGGGCCGGTTGGGCCTATACACAAAATATTTTGGACGAGATGGCTCACCAGTTGAAGATAGATTACATTATAAAAAAGCACCAGTCTCCCAGAACGTGAAAAAAATGCTAATGCTTCGAGGGCCCATACTGGGAATGGATTGGAGGTGAGGGGCTCGTTCGATCGACAAAGTGCATACCAAGCCACGTTCAAACAGTAATTAATTATAGAAAGATATTTTATATTTGTTTTCAAAAATATTATTGTTTACTTGCGGGCCAGATAAAGTTACACTTAGCCCACGGGCCGCGTATTAAGAGCCATAAGAAATGTAGGTCTATGTAAATATCGTTTTTTTTTTTGGTTTTTTTTTGGTTTTTTTTTAAGATTTTGAATTATACTCTATTGCATTTTGTTGCCATAATGAGTATAAGCATATGGCCCATTGGCTGATTCAAGTAGGGGGCCACCCCCTCCTATTTTTTAAATAAAAATATAATGGAGAAGAAAGAAAGAAAACTAATTCAAATTAAAGTCTAGAGTGTCATTTCCGGTCCTCTAGAAATACCAAAAGTGGATGGACCATCTATAGTGATAGTCCCTACTTGAGCCCCATATGTTACGTAGCGAATCTAATACAGTAGAAAGGTTTGGTGGAGGGATAAATGAATGAATGAATGGATGGATGGATGGATGGATGGATGGGTGAATGGATGGGTGGATGGATGGATGGATGAATTGATTGATTGATTGATTGATTGATTGATTGATTGATCGGTTGATTGATTGATTGATTGATTGATTGATTGATTGATTGATTGAAGAATGGATGGAATAATTGATGGATGGATGGATGGATCGATCGATCGATCCATCGATCGATTGATGGATGGGTGGATGGATGGATAGATGAATGAATGGATTGATTGATTGATTGATTGATTGATTGATTGATGAATGGATGAATGGATGGATGGATGTAGCTTTGTGATTAAGATGCTTACCTTCTAATATGTCTATCTAGGTTCAAATCTTGTGACAGCTATGACTTTATTTTTTTCTCTAAGCTAAAACACATCTCTACTACCTAACCTTGCAATGACTTATCATGAAGCATCGTATTATTACAGTAATTCGATTTCGTTTATTTAAGGAGGCCCTTGATTATCAGTTTAGCTGGAAGGGTCACCCTCAATAAATAAAGTGTCAAAATTGTATAGATGGATGGAACCTCTACCTACCATACAAAAAAAAGAGAAAAGTATGCATATAATAGGTAGATATGGGCCTACTGTAAATCTGTGACCATATCCGGATATTTAAAAAAAAAACAATTAAAAGACTTTAAATTTTACTCACAATGTTACCAGCTCTGAAGTATAGGCTATATAATTTATTACTGACAGAGAACTCTCTACCCATCGAACCCAAAATATACTGTGAATATAATGTATGGAAAAATTGTTATGACGGAAACTGTGGATCACATGTTGACAACATTGAGGTCAATTGTTATTTATGTTTTTTTTTTCCTGTATTGTACTTGGATTGGTTTAGCCATTTAGAGTTGGTTAGAACGCTGAGCACTTTATTCCATATTATGAACCAAGCCTATACAGTAACAGTACATCCTATTTTAAAACACTTGCAATACAACATTCAATATATTAGGCTTATTTCTTTCCATCTAAATAGAGGCGTTTAAAGACGGTACGTTTAGGCATACTACCGGTCTAAAGAGAAACTATTAGAGACAGGTTCTGACGGGCCTAAATGAACTTTTTTCCTTTAATTAAAAATACAAATTAAAATTTAATCAGAAATACCCCAAATTGGAGAGACAAATACTAAAATATATTGAGCATCAAAACTCATAGTTAGAAAATGCTACTTAAAATTAAAATAGAGATTTTAAAGCATTTTTTTTCTATAAAATTATTATGTTCTTATACGTTTTGTATATCAAAATAATACATCATAAAAATTGTTGTTTTGTAGGTATAACACGTGCTTCAACCGTTGTGTAAAATGGTAATTGCAAAGGAGAGTTTTATCCCGAGTTGGATAGAACGCAGGAATGATGTAACCATTCTAAAACACTTGTAATAAACCAATGTAGGCCTATCATTTTTTTTTCCTTTAATGGCCACCTTAATGGCCTGTTTACACTATGACGATAACGATCAAAGATAAAAATCTAAAAAGTAATTGTTCATAGAAAATAAAAGAAGAGAAGTTTTCACACTATACACGATTCGATAACACTTATCGTGTAGAAATCGTATAGAATCGTGCTAGTGTGAAAACTTCTCTTATTTTTACTCACGATTTGGTGAGGCGCAACGCCTAATGCATATTCATGACCTTGTTGTACACGCTACGATACACACGCTCGAGTTTTTTGGCACGTTCTTATCTGAAAACAAAACCAGCTGTAAGAACCTGCGAGTAAACCTATATAGCGTAGGTCTAGGCCTAGGCCCTGTGTTGGTTTTTTTCATAAAATTTTTAAGATGAAGTCACGATTCACGACGATTGATCTTAGGTCTGTTCTCTCTGAACTTGGAGAAAGGTAGGATTGAATGATGATTGACCGGCTAAGCCTAACTAGCCAGCCTAGGCCTAAAAGTTAAGTTTAATTAGGCCTAGGGCTAGGCCTAGGGCTAGGCCTAGGCCTAGCCTAGCATATACAGACCTATGCCTACCTAACTAGGACCAGCAAGGAAGGCTAGGCCCGGGTAGACTCTACTCTACTAGTCTAAAGCCTAACCCAAGGCCTTTAGCTTACTCCCCCATACTTAATTAAGTAGGGAGCTTACAAGGTCATACCACATCTTTCATCCATCCATGATGCAGCATTTGGTTATTGCGCTTGGTTTTGGGAGATGTTTTTTTTTCTCTCTCTCTTTTCTAGATTGATGGGAATGCGAGTTCTTAATGTTTATGATGTTGACAACAAAACTTACTTAATCCGACTGGCAAAGTAAGTATTTTTTGTTTTGTTTGCCTTGGATTTGTGTTGATTTTACATAATATAATAATTACTGCTAGACCAATTTGCTTAAAATTAAATGTCATGTTGTTGTGTCAATTTGTATTGTGTGTAATAAAAACTTGTAAAGTCTCCTGATTCGATTAGGAGTGTCCTATATGTTCATCCAATCTTGCTGCCTCCCAAATATTTTTTAAAGTCTACCAAATTTTCAGAAAAAAACCCCAAAATGCCAAAAACGCCTATAAATTAGTGGCTTTTAAATACTGGTGTACAATAATTGAGTATTTCTGTGTCAATTTTTTCTTTGTGCCCCAACTACATCAACGGTGCTAGCATACAAAGGCTTTCCGAGTATTCCTGATACCTTAAATGATCACCTTTATAATACTATCAATCAAAATCCATGCATGAAAAACTCTTTAGAATTTCTACATTTTATAGGTGGGGGTGCACTTAACCAATGCACCTCCAGTTTCCCGAATTTTGAGTTCCACTGGTTGAAATATCTGCAAATACTGTAGGTAGAACTTAGCAGCATTATATCTGTTTCTATTAATCAGCAATTATTTTTTTTAGGCCAGATCAGAAAGAAGTGTTACTCTTTGAGTCAGGTAGTCGCATCCATTCGACAACTTTTGAATGGCCTAAGAACATGATGCCCTCAAGTTTCTCAATGAAGCTTCGGAAACATCTGAAGTCACGACGTCTAGTTCAGATCAAACAGCTTGGAATGGATCGCATCGTGGACCTTCAGTTCGGATCCGATGAGGCCGCCTACCACTTGATAATTGAGCTTTATGATAGGGTAGGTTAGAGGAGAAATTCGGGAGGTTGAGAAGTTTCAGGGGCAGATCCAGAGAAAAGGTCTGGGTATGGCCAGGGGAAGTGGGAAGCACGGCAACTTTGGGTGGGGGCTGCAGCATAGCCAATTGTAAAATGAAATCAATACACTTACAGCAACTGTTGAACAGTTGATGAGGGCATTGATCCATTTTGAAGTTACATTTATTAGTGGAGGAGTTTTAAAATTATATAATGCAGTAATGAAATGTGTTTTTTCAAAGCCACTGTCTTTTATAAAATGATTGATTGGGAATAAACTTTGTCTCACACATTTAACATTTTTTTTGTCTCTCCTCTCAATCCAGGGAAATGTCGTCTTAACAGATTTTGAATTCAACATCTTAACATTACTAAGGACAAGGAAAGAAGGAGAAGACGTAAGGTTTGCAGTCCGTGAGAAGTATCCAATTGAGACCGTAAAAAAACCACAACCACTTATTGAAATGGACAGGTAGATTTATTATAGACCATTGAATGATTTGTCTATATTGAACTCTTCAGCCCTTTTAACTGAACATTGGAATAATTTTAACTACTGTGGATCTCAAGCTCAAGGGGTGGCACCAGTGGTAAGGGGGTGGGGGGGAACAAATTAAATACAATACAATACAAAAATATTTGTTCATCATTTCATATCTCAATCGGTTTTGCAAAAAAAGAATTATAATTGTGATGATGTCAAAATGATAAAAAGAGTCTTGAGAAAACCCCGGGGTTTGTACATGCGACACCCCACCCCAAACTAGACTTACTACTAATAATCTAATAATATAAGTATCCTATGTCATTCAAACTCGGATTCCATAGAAGTGCTCACATTATCAGCGACAGTCGCCGACAGTTGTTGGGAATGTTGAACCTAGTTTAACTTAGCTGATTGCGTTGCAGACCAATCGGGTGCCTTCCCGATTGCATTAGGGCAGCTAGCAATGCACCCAGATACGTCTGCAACGCCTTTCTTTTTTTTTTTTTTTTTCTTCTTTTCTTTTCCTATAAGTTTCTTATATGTTTCTTTCCAGTTTATTCAGATAAAATGTAATGCATTCTCTGGGAGAGGGAGTGCGCGCCGTCGGGTTTCGGCATTGGTCACGCATTGTCATGAATTCCTTTCAATGGCGTGAATGGTGTCGAGAGCAGTGGCGTGTAGTTCATTTCCTGGGATGCGTACTTTTCTTTTCGTTATTTGTTTTTTTTTTTTTAAAGTACTGTATTTATTAGATGGTGTATTAGGATAGTAAGAAATATCTATTGCTAGACAAATGTACATATGTTTTTTTTTTCTTTAAATCTTATATTGTGAATTATTGTTGCCCATCTCTAGATTGTGCCTCTGTTACAAAAGAGAAACAATAAAGTTATTATTATTACATAAGCATATGTGTCAAGCCTTTAAAACCCCTAAGTTGTCATAATTTCTAAAGCCCCCCGGACCACTTCCAAGAGGTTTTGACTGACAGCCGACCACATTTCCTTCCTTTCCCTGTCTGGGACCTCAGACTGGGCACCTATATTGAGGAAATCCTGGCACCAATTAAAAGCACTCCATTTCTGTTCAATGTTGCAATTTTAACTTAATTTTTAAAATTTTATCATGTTATCGATAGGTTACAGGAGTTGATAGGAGGTGCTAATCCTGGTGATGTACTAAAGAGGATTTTGAATCCAAACTTTGGTAAGATCAGCAACAATTTCCTCCACATTTTAGAGCCCGCTAGTTAGAGGGCACTGTTTCATACTATTTATAACCATTTTACAAAAGCTACATTCATTAATTTTTTTTTTCTTGTTAAAGTGTATGGTCCTGCAGTGATTGACCACTGTCTGAGAGGTCAGGGGTTTCCAGACAATGTGAAGATAGGTCAAGGTGTTGATGTCAATGAAGGTGTGTAGTTTCATATACTTGTGTTTGTTTGTTCATTCTTATATTAATATTTATACTTTTTATTTAAATGCTTTTTATTTTTCCTAAATTTTAAAAACTAGATTTACAAGCAGTAAATAACAGTTTTTAATGGCTTATTGTTTTTTAACTTCTCAAAGACTTGCCTAAGATTATGGAAGCTATCAGGGAAGCTGAAAAAATGATGCAAGATGCTGGCACAGTGAAACAAAAGGTAATTTGTGTATAAATCTGGTACAACATCAATACAACCAACATAATACTAACATCATTGAATTATGTAGCCTGAGCTTTGGTTGTTCCCATCAACATTGGTGCATTATTACTGTGTTGGTAGGCAGGGCTTTGGTGGTTTCCCACCCAAATTGACTTGGTATTGTAGTGGTAGACAGGGCTTTGATACTTTTCACCACATTTGTTCAGTATTGTGGTGGTAGGCTGGGCTTTGATCGTTTTCACCTACATTGGTACTTTATTATTGTTAGGCTTCAGTCGTTCCCACTCACATTGGTGCACTGTGTGTTTAGCTGAGACCAGTTTAGCTCAGTCAGCAAAACTGGTAGTAGGCACTGTGTGCTGAACTGTGGAGATCTTTTGGTTCCCTGTTCAGTTCGACCACCTGCTGCTCTCTTTGCATTTCAGCTAGTGGGCTGAAATGCAAGTATAAAAGAGCTTTTGGATGAGACATTTAAGCCACTGGTCCCACGTGTAATATGGCTCATGTGTATGTTAAAGAACGCAGTACTCTCATCGGGAAAGAGTAGGAAAATGTCTCCCAATGTACTGCCCAATCACCACTAGAAGGACCCCACTGGAAATAAGTCTTTGTGGGTTATCCTTGGTATTCATACCGAATATATTCACCATCCACCGATTGTGCTAGATCTACTCACATTAATTCACTGTTAGTATTGAAGATTGAAATGTAGCTCCTAAGTACAAAAATAATATTTTGCAGGGATATATCATACAAAAGAAGGAAAATAAGCCTGCGTCGTCAGGTGGTGAAGAAGCAGTAATATTAACGTAAGTTGGAAGAATCCTCATCCAGGGAATCTGTTTAAATGAGCTTTTTTAACACATCTAATTATATTGTGTTGTGGAGAGTGATACCCATTGTCACTGATTTCCCAGAGACAATTGATAATACAGTTGTAGAAACTAGTAAAAAATGGGTAAATATTGTGAATTTGCGGAAAGTGGGTTAATTTTTGGGAGATTCTTGTATATGTTGTATAAATAATATTAGATGGGATGTTAAACATAAATTTTTATAATTATATTAAAATTTCAGTTACTCCGAATATCACCCATTTCTATACCGGCAACATGAGCATTTACCCCATATAGTTTTCGATACATTTGATCAGGTTAGTGTCCTCATTAATTATTCATAACTTAAGTGCCAAAGGAATTTGTTAAAGACGTAACAATAACCACTGAAATTATTTTTGGGATAAGTGAACAACCTATGCAGTACTCAAATTCAGGGGTTAATCTGGAATTTTTCTAACGGGGGAAGGGCGGGCGGCACACCAGTTTCAGAATAGATTAGTGTGTAGCACATAACATTAATATGCATTGAAATTTTTAAAATTTAGTGGAAAAAAGGAGATGCCCATGCCCCCAACTGGATTCGACCATGGCCAAATTGAACCATATTTTTAGACAGATTATCATTATTAATAAATTATTATTTGTTAGCAATATAATACCTCATCTTCAAAGGTGCAACAGGTCCTTGTTATCCTCCATTCCTCTCCGACAAATATTTTATTTGTTCTGATTTTTTTAATGATTTTTCAGTCTGTAGACGATTTCTATTCAAAGATAGGCAGCCAAAAACTTGACATGAAAGCTCTGCAGCAGGTCAGTAGTTCAAAGGTCACACCATTGTTCAAACATGAACATCTATTGATATTAACACTTGACCAAAATACTCTATAAAATTTTAAGGAACTAAGGTTGGGGATATAATTTAAAGTTATGGAAAGTATAAATATAAAATTGAATTAATTACAAATGATATGGAATGATTTTGAGTGACAGTCAGAGTAGCTATATAACTTCATTTAATAAATTAATTGATATTCGTAAATTTATGAACAATATAGGAGAGAGCAGCATTAAAAAAACTAGAGAATGTGAAAAAAGATCATGACAAGAGGATAGCACAGCTACAGTCAAACCAGGTGGGTGCTCATCAGGGTAAATGTGTTGTCATGAATTATTCATATTCTAAATGTCAAAGTTCATCTGTCAATGGAATTTGATGGAAATTGGAGTCGTACTACAGCAGATTCTCATTAAATCAAAGCTTTTACAGTTAACTTTGTCCTGTACTCTTTTTTTATTTCCCAACATTGTGCTCTCCTTTTTATTCCACATAATTCCTTCTTTCCTCTGCTAAATTCTTCCTTTTCATACTGTACCTCTTTCCATTCATCTCTTATTTTATTTTCCATATGAAGATAATGAATTTTAAAGCAGTCTTATAGCGAATTAACAGACATGCCGACCACTCCGAATTCAGTGGAGTTACTCCATTTATTTAAGCAAAACTCTGCACTTCGATTTTGGGTTGAAAATTTCCTTTTAATACACATTTCGGCCTTCTGAAATAAATTGTGCATTTCTGAATAATAAAAATCATATGATTTAGAAAGAACAAGACCAGTTAATTTCATCCTGAACAGCGCTCTGTACTGTATACAATAAAGTAATTCGGGCTTCCCCGGTTTACTGATTTTGAAAAAACAAATTTCATTGGCCAAGTCGCTGTCAGAGTTGCACTGCACTCTGAACTTCTATAGCGCTCTTTGATGTCTACTGATTTCGTAACAACAGTCTAGTAAACCAAGAGTACCAAAATGGAGTCTGTTGAGAGCGACATGGATTTAGGCTGATGTAAATTGTCATTGCAAGTCAGATCGCTTATTTTTTACAGTCCGATCACATAGGTACCATATGTCTTAGAAACAAATTTAACATACTCCTCGCACATTACCAAAACTCCTTTAAAGGTTTTCAAACGCCTCTTGTTCCCCTTTTAGGGTTGGCATGTCTGAATTAAGCGCTGTGAGCTTATTTTTTTTTTTTTAGGTGGATTGGTGCTACTTAAGTATTCATATTATTATTATGTAATATATCAATTATATGTGTGATCTTCTTCCAGAAAAATGATTACACAAGAATGTATTATCTTTGTAGGATATTGATAAAAGAAAAGCAGAGTTGATAGAAGTAAATCTTACATTGGTGAGTCGAGTTAAGTTACCATATATGATGATGATGATAACCGACAGTGAGCGCTTTGTTTACGTCTGATAAAAATTGTTATTCGATAAAAATTCTTAATAACATTTGGCATTTGATTTTCTTCCGTAGGTTGACCAGGCTATTCAAATTGTACGGAGTGCGATTGCCAATCAGATTGATTGGTCAGAGATTCAGAATATTATACATGAGGCCCAAGTACAGGGTGATCAAGTTGCCATGGCGATCAAATCCATCAAACTTGATACCAACCACATCACTATGTCACTCCGGCAAGTGTCTTCATGAATTGTATATATTTTCAATACAGCAGAACCTCTTCTTTGAGACACCCATACTAAGGGATATTTTTTGGCTGTGAAGTGAGACAAATGTATCTTTGGCCATCCCCTATTCAGAGGACACCCCCCCCCCATTGGGGATCCAGGAATTTTAAATAGATGTGGCCCAGGGAGGGACTTTCACAGATGGGGGGGCAGGCCGAAAGGGCCCTCTTTGAATCCACCACTGATCCCTATTAAATGGACACTTTTTGGTCCTGTGAAGTCCCCTTAATATGGGTTCTACTGTACGTACATAAACAATATATTTATGTTTTTTATTACCCTATTGTTTATTCAATCAGAGATCCGTTTGATGTAATTGACGAAGATGATGAGACAGGAGAGGGAGAACGAAATGTTCCCTCCAGTAAACCAATGAAGATTGACATTGATCTTGGCATATCAGCTTATGCAAATGCGAGAAAGTAAGTTGGCTTTCCTCTGTTTAATCTAATCGTATTATGCTGATTGGAAAATATAGTATATTGCTGAAAAATTGATGTATTTTAAAAATAATATATTTTAAAACATCAAATGTGTTTTTAAAATTAAATTATTTGTAATGTAATGTAGTTTATATAGCGCTTTATACTGAAACGGTCTCAAACCGCTCAAGGTGTGGACTAGCACTTTCAGTAACTTGCTACTTTCCTCTGTCCAAGACAGGGGCTGACTGGATCAGTACACCGGGGTAACCCTACGTCTGGAAAGATGTACTGTGTTATTCTAAGTGTGCACGAGCCAAATAGTGTACACTGGGCCTACGGTTTATAGTCCTTATCTGAGAAGACTTGTTCCACCACCAGAATTGATATTGTGGCTGTATGTTGCAGCTCCCCTGCCTTAACCGCTCGGCCGTCCAAATGTTGAATTGCTCATTAAAAATAATCTAATAAATGATCTGTGTCAGTAAGACATTGACTAATTCAACTCTTGGTTTTTGCTGATTTTTTATTTTTACTACAAAAATCTTTTGACCGACGCATTAATTGTCTCTGCAAAGAATTAGAGTTATTTAGCGTCTGTGGACTGGCAACATAAATAGTTTTCTTTTTATTCTTAATTACTTAATTACTTTTTAATTGTTAATTAATTACTCAACACAAAGTGCTATCTTTAAAATTATTAGTACATGTGCTAAATGTTCATTAATGTTCATTGATCATAAGTTAATCATTAATGCATTAATTAATTAATGCATTAATTAATGCATTGATGTTCATTAATCATAAGTTAATGTTCATTAATCATAAGTTTCTGATGGCCTACTTGAAATACAATGGGTGTTATTTTTTGTTGTAGATACTTTGATCTGAAGAAACATTCCAAGATGAAAGAAACGAGAACTGTGGAATCATCAAGTAAGGTATGTCATCTAGAATTTGTAGTGAAAGCCTTAGTATCTTTATCATCGTAGTCATCAACAACATCTTCATTATCATCATGTTATCATAATAATATTTATTTTTGTAATTATCTTCATAAGGATCTACTGTATATTATTGTTATAGTATTGTATCATAATCATCATTGTTATACTCATCATAATGTGATTATCATGATAGCTATCATCACAATAATCATTTTATTATCCTCATCATACTCTCCTCATCCTTATAAGCATCATAATCATCATCATTATTATCAGCATTTTCACCATGATTATAATCAGTATTGTCATTTATCAACATCATCATAAACATCATTTTTGTTATATTCATTCATTTTTCATACATCTATATAGCACCTAACATTGAAATAATTCATCTGGCTTCTTAATGTGTTATATATAGCACCTTTCTTCACAGATACAAAGTGCTTCATCTGATTATCATTATAGTCATCATAATCCTAGTCACAGTAATCCTAATTACCAACATCATCGTTATTATCAGCATTATCACCAAAATTATTATCAGGATTGTCAACATCATATTACTAACATCATGAACACAATCATTACTGAAATCATTATTATCATCGACATAGATGTATATATTTTTCATTTCATTGCTTTCATTTCGTATTTACTCCAGGCTATCAAGTCAGCAGAGAGAAAAACCAAACAAGCCTTGAAAGAAGTTGCAACTGTAACGAGCATAAAGAAAGCCAGGAAGACTTATTGGTAAGGTGATCTTTTATGTATAGCGTGGATGAATTATTTGTGTGTGAGCTCATTAGAAATTATAGCAAATAACGAACCCTACGTTCACTTGTAGGTTTGAGAAGTTCTTCTGGTTCATCAGCTCTGAAAACTACCTTGTGATCGCAGGACGAGACCAGCAACAGAACGAACTGGTCGTTAAGAAGTACCTAAATCCTGGCGATATATACGTCCATGCGGATCTTCATGGCGCCAGCAGCGTGATCATTAAAAATATATCAGGTGAGGCTTATCATAACATCATCATATATACAAAACTAATTAAGACATGTTTTGTCGTGTCAACACATCATCAGGCAATAATGCTTATGCAACTAACGGTTTATATACTCAGGTGTATGAAAAACAAGCATATACTTAGGTAAGTCATGTATATAAAAACATACAATTCAATAATATCACTCTCTAATTGTAATTCCTATATTCATGACTTACCATAGTATTCATGACTGACCTTTATATAAGATTTGCAAAATGTTTGATATTTATTGGCTATATCAATCAAGTATGGTCATGGTGTATCAATATTTCTCAACTCTCATGTTATGAGATGAAAATAATTAAAATAGTAAATGTATTCTTTAACCTTTATTATTTTGTAGGCCAGCCAGTTCCACCTAAGACCCTCCAAGAAGCTGGTGTGATGGCTATATGCTACAGTGTTGCCTGGGAGGCTAGGGTGATTACTAGTGCCTGGTGGGTCAGGCATGATCAGGTAAAAAATAAAGATATATTATGATAACACTGATACTCCAATTCAGTCTTTGATTTACAAATCGCATCATACTAAATCTCAAAAGAAGAGGAAGAAAAAGGTATTACAAAGAGAAAAAGCAGAAAACAGAAAAAAGAGAACAGAAGAAAAAGACAGAAAGAAAATATTGAATATCAGGCTTTAAGTCTGTTACCTTCTTCTTTGAAGCAGTTGCCATAGAATTTATATGTAACCCCTGTATTCTTAAAACAAATTTTAGTCAAACTTTGAACTAAAACTTTACTTAGTCCTAGTTGCAACTTCAACTTCAATTTGTATTCATAAACAACGTAGTCAAAGATCTAACTACAACTAAATTAAGTCCTAGTTTTAGATCAAATGAATACTGTTGGCGAACAACGACTATCAATCTAATGAATAAAAAAAGCTTGTTTTAATAGCTTACGAAATTTTAGAGATCTGCCAATGCGGATTAAGTTTTAATGACGTAATTTTGAAGTTTAGCTCGAACTACGGCTAAAGTTTGTTTTATGTGTACCAGGGTTAGTCTTGTGAGAGTGCTGTATTCCCAATATTGCAGCTTGCACAGGTAGGAAAATAGCAATTTTATTCAAGGATTTATTGAAGCCAGTCGCTAAATTTTGTTAAATATTTCCACAGGTGTCAAAGACAGCACCAACAGGAGAATACCTGACCACTGGCAGTTTCATGATCAGAGGTAAGATTAAACAATGATCCTGACCTTTGACCTACCTAGAGGTCGTCAGGCATGTCATAATTTAGGGATACTACCATACTTTAGCAAGCACTTAATATTTTTGTCTCCTTTTGATATTTTCTTTTTCTTTATAGGCAAGAAGAACTACTTGCCACCTACACATCTTATGATGGGATTTGGTTTTATGTTCAAGGTAAGAAAATTCCTGATTGTTATGTTGACAATTTTCCACCTTTATTTCATTTATCAAGATTTTTTTTTAGGTAACATTTCTTTAAACATAGTTTTTGTCTTTTACGTAGATTGATGAGAGTTCTGTCTTTCGGCATAAAGATGAAAGGAAGATTCGATGTGGAGAAGATGAAGAAAGCATTGCTGTATGTTCAAAAAAAATAATGTTCATTATTTATAAACGACTTTTACAATCTGAATATAGTATCAAAATTGCTGGCAACTTTATTATCCATATCCATATTGACTGACTCACATAAAAATCCCCTTCCTCTGCTCTCTGTCGTAGTGCAGTGTGGGGCACTATGCAGATACATTCAATGTCACAACATCCTATGCCGTGCCTATTTATACTTTTAGAAGAGACAAACATAGATAAAGTGAATTGGCCTGGAACACTAGTGAAGTTGACATCGCAGGTTTTTTAAACCCTGTACTTCCTAGTTTCAGAATCTGCACCCGGCCACACCAAACACTCATACTTCTTTTAGCCATTTTTAGCTTAAAATAAGAATATAATTTTATAGATATTGAATCCCATGATGGGTATTTTAAACCTTTCCTCACCTCCACACACATCTCATCTTACAGTCTGCATATCCTCTCTCAAACCCAACCCCCACCCCTTTCCCACACACACACATACACACACAGGTTACTTATAGTACATATAAAGAATGGCATATTTTCTTTTACCATAGCATGCCAACATTTATGTCTTTATATCATCTAAATATATCCTCTAAATCTTCCTTGTAGACTGAAAGTGTTGGTGACGAAGAAGAGTTGAAAGCACCCTCAATTGATGATGATGGTGATGAGGATGATGACGAAGATGAAGATGCTAGCAAATCTAACAAGGAGGAAGGACAAGAGGGTGAGAAGACAATTGAGGAGGAAGAAAAACTTGAAGTGAAGGAGGAAGCAAAGAAGGAGAGTAGCGAAAGTGATGAGGAATCATTATTTCCTGACACAGCAATTCAAATACAACATATCAAAGGAGACAAGTGAGAAAATTACTTTAAAAAAATTTGTTTCAGTTCAAATCAATATTTATATTTTTATTTTTTCTTTGCTCTATGATTAAACAATGAACTAGAATCCAGAAAGCAAAGGCTGTTTATGAATGCTCAAATATGTAGATAATATTAAAATAGATACTAAAAGTGTCAGAAAAATAACATAATTAATGATTGACTCGGACTACTTTTATTTCATCCTTTAAAAGAAAAACATATTTACTGGAAAAAAAGCTTATTGCCAAGTCTAGTGGTATTTTTTATTGGTTTTATGAAACATCACATGTTTCAATGTAAGTGTATTATATTGGAAGGAAGAAATGTATTGATGGAATATACTTTCTAGATATGAACTGCAACGCAGCAGGGGCTTAAGCATCCTCAGCAATAGCAGTAGTCACCATTCCGCAGGTGTGGACGAGGAGGAAGATGATTTCAACATCATTTATCTCGGTGATGATCAGCCAATCGTTGTTGGAAAGAAATCAGTTGAGGAGGTAAGTTCCTGTCTTTGTTATATGCAAATATATGTAGATTTATATAAATTAGTAGGTTTAACTGTGATTAACATCATTGGTGTTAAATTTGTTCACCAGATAATAACATTATTCATTTCATATGATATATGCAAATGTGTACATTGTCTAGCTTTGTAATCTTGGTTTACAATATAATTATAAAAGAAATTTTTGGGTTTTTTTCAGGAACAGAAATCTAAGCAGAGGTTATCTGCAAGACAACGAAGGTATAGTTTACTAGTTACAATCTTATATATGTTGCAGTTCTACTGTTAGAAAAATTAAGCTGTTTTTTTTTTGTTTCTTGATGGTTATGTTGGTATATGAAACTGTAAGTTGTGCCCTGACTCTTTCTTTTAGGGAATTAAAAAAGAAAGCCAGTCAGCAGGAAATTGCAGATGAAGCGGATGATGTTGAACCACCAGTAAAAAATGAACAAGTTAGTAAAACGAAATCACAGAAGGTAAGACAAACAAAACTGAAGCTGATTTATGATGTTGAGGTTAAATGTGTTTGTATAACAGAGGTCCCAAGCCTTTAACATGTCACAGGAGTCACCCAGAAATACCCTCCCACAAGCAAGAAATTCCAGGAAAATAACCCATCCTGCAAATCCATTTGCATGTTTTTACTACTTTTTTTTTTGTCAATTGTCAGTGTCAATGAGTACCACCATGGGTAACAAAATAAGATATGTATTAATAATAATAATACCCAAATATTAAAAGGCGCCAATTTCAAATTGAGGGATTAAAGGCGCGAGCGTTATTACCCCTGGTCACTGGATAGCATACAATGGCAAACCAGTGCAAAGTGCAACCTTCTCTGCTCCCTGGGAAGTATACCTAGTTGTTCGCCAAACGACTCGCTCAAACGATCCACTCGAGTTGGCTGTCAATTGTGGTCGAAAAATATATAAATAGCTTTTCAAAATCTGCATCTTACTATCGATCAGCACCAAATTCGAGAAGGACTGAGATACTGTAATATTTTCAATGCGTAAAAATTTGAAGTAAATCAGTCCAGTAGATTTTGAGTTATGTGCACAGACGGACACACACACAGCACAGATACACACACACAGACTATTGCAATACACTTCACCTCTCCTACGGATAGGTGAGGGTGTTCATCAGAACTTTTGAATTTTCTAGGAAACACTTTGTATTTGTTTTATTTTTTATCTAATTTTTTAGTATTTTTTGTCATTTTTTAAAATAAATTCAAATCAAATAATCTGTAGAAAATTATTAATTGTTAATTGTTGATAGTAACGTTACTTTTAAATCAAAATAATAATAATAATTGTTTTACTTTGTTTTTATTCAGCAAACACAGCAACAAGAACCTTTGAAGAGAGGACAAAAGGTATTTTATATTAAATAATACTCAAATTAACAGAATTTATTTGAAATGGAGAAACACCTCTATTGGTAATATATAAAATAGATTGTCTCTATGAAATTTGAATCGAAGACCTTTCTGTATTCCATCAGGTGAGCTACCAGAGGTCATGTTTTTATACCCTTTTGGTTTTCCATTTTCTTAAGGCTTTGCAGTTGCTTGTCAAAGTGATGTGAAACTCCTTCATTAGTGCAATACAAATTGTGTCATAAATTCCAAGTTTATCAGGCATTGAAAACTTTTAGTGTGACCACCTTTAACCCTATTGGAATTGGGCTGGACTCTAGCCTACTGTTGAGCATCGAATAAATTCAGTCAATCGATCTTCTAAGTTTTTCATATGTTTCTGGGGCCAATCGAATAATGAGGAAGCACAATAGGATGAGAAGACAGTCGAGGAGGAAAAAAAGCATGACGTGAAGCATTATTGGCTGTGAAGGGAGGGACAGACAAGCTAGTTCACAATATCCAAATCTTCAAGATAAATTCAAATTAATTTCATAATGTTTTTGATTTTTTATTTTTTTTTTAGTCAAAACAGAAGAAGATAAAAGCCAAATACCAAGATCAAGATGATGAAGAAAGACAGTTTAAAATGGAATTGCTTGCTGTTAGTATTACATATTCTTGATTTCTTCTCCTCTTTAACATGCAAGCCTCGTAGCCAGAGGGTACACGGGGTTCAAAATAACCCCCCCAACCCCCTTTTACAGAAGTGCCCTTTTTAAATAATTATTAGAAAGTACCATTTGTATGGAATGCCAAATGTTTTAAATTTAGCATTTTTATTGCCATTTCTGGATATGATGAGGTGTTATATATTTAAAAAATTAACCCAACCATGGACGGGCTAAGGCATTATGTGAGTAACTGTAGCCATGCTCAATGTCTATAACTGAAATATCTTTGTGATAGCTAATTCAACACTATTCCTTTGAAGAAAAAATTCTTTAAAAAATGTTTAAACACCTAAATGTTCTCTAAAGATCATAATTTTCTTTTGTTTCCCCTATGTTTGGGAGGGCGTGGCCTGTCCATCGGTTCAGGGACACGCCCACTGGCTTCCATTTTGGACGGTTTATTTCGTTTTTCTGGCTAAACGCATGTGTTTGCGTATGTTTTGTTTTGTGGGACCTTAAATAACAATATGCAGGGGGATGGGGAGCTATTCAGGTAAGTATCTCACTCATAGACTAACAATGTCATTGCTGCCCAATATTTTTTGTCAATTTTATTACTGTGCTTATTTTTCCCTTAAAGTCAGCAGGACCTCCCAAAGATGTCAAAGGAAAAAAGGGGAAAAAAAAACAGCAGCAGCAAAAACAATCACAACAAAATCAAAAACATCATAAGCAACTCAAGAAAGATGATAATAATGAAGGCCAACAGATGTTGCAAGGAACAGTTAAGGAAGAGCAGAACACCGTGGAGAATTTAACAGAGAAAGTACAAAACCTTGCAGTCGATGAAATAAATGGTATGTTGGTGGGTTTTTTTAGGACTGTCTTATAACATACAGTACAATTGCAGCACGGTTTGAGGTGGAGCAGTGAATTCTACTTCCTGCGATGTTAAGCCGGGCACTCACTGTGTCGTGCAACAGTCGTACGACCGCCGTATGACCATCGCACGACGGATCTAACTCCCCTCCCTGTGATCACTAGATGACGCGATGCCGTCTGAACAGATAGTCATTAGAAACGCGCGTTTGTCATCGCATTGCGTTCTTCATGGAATTGCGTTGGCTGACAATTGGGTAGTACTTTACGCCTAAATTTAGCATGTGCAGGGAAGTTGTAAAAACTACCACATCTTTTACTTTGTGAATTGACCAATGAAATTATTACCTAATTAATATTTATGAGGTATAATAAAAATTTAATATAGAATTTAGGAATTCAGCCTTTTGTACTTTGAAAATGTGAAAATGTAATCACCTGTTTGCTGCCTGATGACTATTTATTATCACATTAGTGTATGGTATAACCATTTACAATTTTCATTTGACAAGTTTATTGGGAATGATAAAAGCTTGGTATAAAAGAGCATTCACACCAAATCAGAATTTTCTGATCGGAAGGCCAACCTAACCAATCAGAAAATGAAATCATTGTGTAAGAATAGGGACAGTGGCATTCAATTTTAGAAAGCAGCTTAGCTCAGTCAGCTAAACTGGTGGTAGGCCACTGTGTATGAGCTGAAACGTGGAGATTTCTAGGTCCCCTAGATCTCTAGGGCTAAAAATGCAAGTTAGGATAGTGTGCCATCTTTCGGTTGTGATATTTGAAGTTGTTGGTCTGTGTGCATTATGGCCTGTGTGCACGTTAAAGCATGCAGTACACTATTCAGAAAAGAGTAGGGGATTGTCTTCCGGTGTACTGCCCAATCACCACCAGACAGTTGCAGAATCTTCAATAAAATGAAGGCGGCAACTTAACAGAAGAAGATTTAGCGCTTCAGTAACATGGTCTGAAGTTTGGTTCAGATCCTATATATATATAATTATGTTATAATTATTATTTATGTCAGTAGATGGAGAAGGACAAGATGATGTTGTGAAGCCACTGGTTATGAAACACACCTGGAACAAGGATACTAAAGATGCAGAAGATGATGATGATGAGGAGGATGATGAAAATAAGAATATTCAGGTAAACTAAAATTAATTTAAATCTAATAATGTTGAATAAATCTGGTTAATAATATTTATAGGTATTTTTTTCCTTTTATGTTGAAGCAAGAAAATGAAATAGTGTATAATACCTGTAATATTTTATTTTTGTATATATTTTAATAGCGAGCAATGAAATTAAATTAATTTTTTATTTTCATTTCAGGAAAGTGGGTCAATTCTTGACAGCTTAACCTGGCAACCTCACCCAGATGACCTGTTGCTGTTTGCTTTACCTGTTTGTGCCCCATACTCTTGCATGCAAAATTTCAAGTGAGTTGTTTAAAAGTTACCACAAAATGATAACTTGTTTTTCTAACATTTTCTCCAGCAAAAAGCTGACGTTTGTTGTAACACTAGCAGTTATGGAATAGTACTAAAATTGATCCTAGGTAAAAACTAGTCGCATTCGCTCCATATTTCACCAAATGCTATAGTTTTGAGTATTAAGATTGCACTCAACTGGAAGAGGAAAAAATATTTTTTTTTTTTTATAATTTCTTTTTATAGATTTAAAGTCAAACTGACACCTGGAACTGGCAAGCGAGGCAAAGGTTTGTAATATATTTATCTTTAAAACATCCCATTTTTATAATTTTTCCTTTTTTTCTTATCCATTTTTTTATTTATTAATTCAATAGAAAACTTGTTAACTGCACATAAACCAAGTAATGTATCTTGTATGCTATATAAATTTACATCAACTAAAATAACAATTAGTTTAGCCTGAGTATGTATTAACTATCCTGAATTATGTGAATTGCAGATGCAAATAATAACCTAATTTTTATATTTAGCTTGCTCATATAATATCAATTATGAAATTTTATCTCAGTGCCATGTGAGGCAAATTTTGTACTGAAAGCATTGGGTACATGGGTGGATACTGCAAGATGGTAGCAGAGTTTAGTCCTTTTGTGTAGAGAGCACCTTAATAGCTCATTTGGCTACGCTGGTGGCAGCAACTTGGTGCACTGAACTGTGGAGATATCTTGGTCCCGGTTCAATTCCCATCGCTGCTCTCATTGTATTTCTGCTGGAAGTCTGAAATGCAAGTTACGATAGTGCACCGTCTTTCAGATGATACGTTAACCCATTGGTCCTGTGTGTGTTTATGGCCCATGTGCATTTTAAAGAATGCCGTACACTCTTCGGATAAGAGTAGGGGATTGTCTCTCGGTATACTGCCCAATACCACCAGAAGGACCTCACTGGAAGTAAATCTTTTTCAGATTTTCATGGGTTATCCTTTGTGTTTACACCAAACAAATCCAATCCAGTGGCTTTTACATGTGTTATGTTCATGACTGATTCATATAATTTGTTGTTATTTGCCTTTTACTCAGCTGCAAAAACTGCTATTCATATGTTTCAATCAAGCAGAGAAGCATCTACAAGGGAAAAGGATCTTTTCAAAAGTGTCAAGGTGAGAAGGATAGGACATCATTGTTAGATGCCTTAAGCCCTGTCCACACTGAAAAAAAACATGTGACATGCCTAAATATGGTCATGATGACATCACATCATGACCATATATAGGCACATTATGACCATATATGGGCATGCAACAGTTTTTGTCAAAGGAAATTTGATAGTGTGGACAGAGCTTTAAGCTCTGTCCACACTGTCATGTTTTATGTGACAAATAAATGTGATTTGTCATCATGTGCAAATCACATGTTTGTCACATAAACTTGATCGTGTGAACAGAAGTTCAGTTACTCCTAGGGCAGATTGCTATAAAACAACCTGAAGTGGTTTCGGATTGGCGTAGCATTTGCAGTTTTTGCTTCTCAATCTCAGTCACTTGCTTTACATTTCGCTTGTATCCTTTGGGCAAAGGCACTTTACCTACGTTTGTCTTTCTTTACCCACGAGTACAAGTGGGTGCCTGGTAGGCTTAAACACAAAATGTGCTGATGACAAACTGCAACATTAGGGAACTCTCCATAGGGAGCCTAGTATGTGTTCCATGATGTGGGCGTAATAAGAGAGCTTGTTGGCATTTTAGTGCTATATTATTATTATTATTATTATTATTATTATTATTATTATTATTATTATTTTTATCATGATTATTATTATTATTATTATTATCATGATTATTATCATGATTATTATTATTATTATTATTATTATTATTATCATGATTATTATCATGATTATTATTATTATTATTATTATTATTATTATAGCTGGTAAGCATTAAAACCACCAGTAGACTACTTGTACAAATCTACCCTGGTAATTAATTATTTTTCTAATATTATGACTATGGTAACATTTTAAAATCATTTTTTTTTCTGTTTTCTCTAGTTGCATATTTTTTACAGGAAAACCATGCCATACTGACATATTATATTTAAAATAATAATAATTAAATAATTATTATTATTACAATAATATTATATTTATTGTATATATTATTATTTTCAATATGATGAATATGACTTAATATATTATTGTAGATGTTAATATTATTATTGTTATTTATTATTACCAATCATTATTTTCTTTTTTTTTTGCAGGACACTGATTTATCAAGAAATATTCCAGGCAAAGTAAAAGTTTCAGCACCTAATTTACATAAACATAAACGATGAAATGCAATATTTAACTGAAGTGTAGCAGATTCGCCGATAAATAATAACTCTTTGGCCAAAGTCTATTTAAAATATATAATTTGAGTGACAAATACCTGATTCACCACTACATGGGTGTGATGTACCATGTCATCATGTCCATATATGGCCAAATCACAAATGAAAATTTGAGTGTGGACTAAGAATTTAGCACTTCATATTACGAAAAAGTATTATTCCTGCGTACAAAGCTGAGCACTCACTGCAGCTGGCGGTCATCGGCCGACGCAATTCTATAGAGAACGCAACGACGTGCACACAACGGATTGTTTTTTTATGACGATTCTTTCAGACTGCCACTGACAATTGGCAGACAGCGTCAAATAATTCGTCGCTCACATCACGAACTAACACAATTAAATTCAATTGTGTTAGTTCGTGAAATCAAAAAAGCGCGTCAAAATACGCGCTGCTGTCGTTAAGGACTTTTTGTGTGGTAAAGAATACAAAATTGCTTGACAACCAATACGCGCTCGTTTTGACGCGCTACTGTGATTTCACAAACTAACACAATCTACTTTGATTGTGTTAGTTCGTGATGTGAGCGACGAATTTAGCACTCACAGGGAGCATGGTCAGATTCGTCAGTCGAGGGTCGTACGGTCGTCGTATGATGCAGTGAGTGCCCAGCTTTAGATGCATAAACAGACATGCTCTACCTCAGAGCGACCGCCCCATGGCAGTTGTTTTGCCTTGGAACGGCCGCAGGGGAACCATGTTTCATTGCAACGCATGCGACGTAGATTTTTTTTTCAAGTCATTCAAATTCATAGACATCATGTATATTCCTAAATAAATAAACGTAAAATAATTATTCAGGGAATCAATCAAAATTGACAGAGTACGATTTGAACTTCGACATCTTGATCAACAATCCAAATTACATCCACTTTACAAGTCAAAAACTTTAAAATTCATAAATCTATGTAATGAATACTATTTAAAAACACTAAATAAATGCAGTACCAATAGAATAGAATTATAACCAAATAGATACAGGTTGGTACGGTGGTCTGAAGGGTATTTTGTTAGATGTAAAAACAAGGGATCTCAGAATTTCAATGAGTTTACTCAATCATCAGGAGCATTACTAGGTAGTATGGACAGATCTTTGTGTTTTCCTTTTAAAATGTCATTCATGATCATTTTTAGAAATTAATATACATATATTATACTCCATTTTCCTAAACTTTAAACAATGAATATATATTGGTTTTCAATATCTGAAATTATGAATTACAAATCTAAAGAGATATAAGAAGCAATAAAATCTATGAAATGTAATGTGGGGATTAACTGCACAGTAATGTATCATTAATTATTTGAATAAAAAAAATCGAGATACTATGAAAACATCTTTGGAAGTGTGTGTTATTTTTGTAGCAAATGAATATGATAATAATGGTAGGTGTAATTGTATTTTGTTTCGATTTTGCAAAATATGTTAACGCTATCATTTTTTAGCTTGCCTAGTGTTGGCACATAAACAGTCTCCTCTGGAGTTATTTGATTAAAGAAAACTAACATTTATAACACGAATCTGGCCCTGGTCAGCAAAACACTCATTTTTGTTAGCTCTTAGCCTTGTTAAAAGGTTTTTTGATGATGATGACGACGATGATAAAGATCATGGTGGTGATAATGGGAAAGCCTTCCTGATTGCGGTGACAATTAATGTTATTTAATGTTTCATTGCGTGTCTCTTCCAGATTTTATCACAAATGGTATAAATAATTTCTTAGAAACAAATAACCATTAAAATACTAATTAGGTTAAATTTGAGGCAGTTAATAAAAACTTTACATATTTAATCAATTCAATAAACTAAGCAAAAATACTGTAGTAATGCAAATTGATTTTATTGGTTTAATAAATTCACATTGAAAAGGAAATTATAAGTAACTATTAACAATATGGCTCCCAGAAAATGAAAAAAAATAAATTCTGATTCAATTCACTCATTCAAATCTCTGATATAAAAAAAAAACTCTTCATTGAAAGTTGCCTTTAAAATACTTCGCTGTCTTTCCATTGCTCTTTCTTGTTTTGTTTTGTTTGAATAAAAGTTAAATGATAAGGAAACATAAGAAAGGAAACGATAAGAACTGATAAGGAACGTAAGGAAAGAAAGAATTGATTTGCAATTATAGGAAAGTAAAAGGAATGAAATATAAGAAGGGGAAAGAAAAGATAAGGAAACCAAAGTTGGAGAAGGAAACCGCCTCCCCCCTCTCTAAATTTTTCAAAATTATAAAAAATTGAAGAAAAAGAAAATTATTTTCAAATTTTCCGGCCATCTAGAGGTGCCATAATCTAAATTGTCTTACCTCAGCTTCAACGTATAGACCCTCCATCTGTCAGAGTCCCTCCTTTGGGTCCCCTCTTCTATTTCAAATTTCTGGATCCGCCACTGGAATAAATAAAAAATATACGTAAAAAAGAAATTAGCGAATGAACAAATCAATGAACGCCGAAGGAAGACCATTACAAGGCACCTATCGCGTTCCATACATTAACTATCTCTAAGAGCTTAGGGGGTTTGCTCTGTTGACATTATCCTTTTCTAATAAGTTGAGGGGTTATAAAATGGCCCCGTCCATGGAACGAAGTTTGAAGGTCGTATTCTCGTGTTGTTAGCACTTATTTTCATAGAATTGTGGCTTTGAATTAGTAAATATGTCGGAGAAACTGAAAGAAGACGATTCAAGTTTAGTGTCGCCTGATTTGTCCCAGTCAGAAGTCAAAGATGATAACTCCAAGCCTGTTCATAAATTTAGGCCGATGGAGCAGGTCGTGTCTGAAGCGATTGTCCCCGACTCAAACGACCCTACAAGCACAACAATGGCTGGGCCTAAGCCAGATCTCGGTGGTAGTTTCAAAATGCCAATTTTTAAAGGTCCGATTCGAAAGACATCAAAGGTAAAAAACTTTAAAACCCCGTCAGAGAAATCGCCTGCTGATTCAACAAAATCACCAACAGTGTCAGTGCCAGTGCCACCAGAAAAAAGGAATGAAAATGAAAGAGATTCTGATGAGAAATTAAAGAAGACTAAAAGGTCTCCAGCAGAAATTCTAGCCACTCCCCCTCCTCCATATCGTGAGCCTGCGTGGAGTGGCATTCCTGAAGATGAGTACTATCTTGAGGTTCTGAAGGGTGGAACAATCTGTGCGAAAATTGGACTGAATGATCATCCTTTTCATTTATTTGGTAGGCTGGAAACCAATCACGTCCAGCTAGATCATCCGTCTCTGTCACGCTACCATGCAGTGCTGCAGTATCGATCTGTTGGCGACAATAATCATGACCCTGGGTTTTATTTGTATGACTTGGGTAGCACTCACGGAACAACGTTAAACAAAAATAAGATAGAGCCCAAGGTTTACTGTAGGGTACAAGCCGGGCACATGTTTAAACTCGCTGGTAGCACCCGGTTGTATATACTACAGGTGAGTAATTTAAATGAAAGTTTGCTGTAATACACATACAGTATTTATGAAGTGCGAAAATTCATAGGGTGCATATCAACTTGCCCTCTTATTAGGTATCCTTTTAAAGTGCTATTAATTATATGTCAAATTATTATTAATTATTTATTTTATTTTATTCCAGCATTACAACAATAAAAAAATAAGTATTTAATAACAAATTCATTTAATATTTATTTACAATTACAGTATGCTGAAAACAGATGATAAATCAATTATATTATATATAATTTTGTTTTTTACACATTTTGATTACTGTAATTAATAAAGCAATGGAGGTTTTGGATAATAATTTGTTAAATAACATTATAATTGAGGACATGTTCATTTCAATTTTGAAATATTTTCCATTAATATATGAAGGAAAAGAGGAGAAAATATCAAATCTTGGTAAGGACATATTTTCTAAAACTACTAATGTTTTTAATGAACTTAATGGTACAGTACTCCTTCCCTATTTTTTTTTCATGTTTTACATTGAATCATAAGTTTTACATTAGTATTTTATAAACCAAGATAAAACCAATACTAAAGCCAGGCCACATAGGGAAAACAAATAATTTCTCTATGACACAAAAGTGTGTTAGTATTTAAAAACTGGTGGAAAAGGTTGAATAAATGGTCAGTTTTAAAATATTCAAAAGTCTGTGGCTATGTTCTCACACGGCTGCTAACGGTAAGCAGGATCCAGATCCTGCTAACCGTTAGCTGCCGTGCGTCCATACAAGAAAATCCCGATCCGAATACCAAAAATATGATGATCGAATCACTGGCCAATAAGAAACTGTAAATTGTAAACGTGTATGTGTGATTGGTTGATGATAGAAACGCGCTCAACTTGCCAACCGATAGCGCTTGCTAACCGTTAGCGGTATCCGGATACTGCTAACGGTTAGCGCTAACCGATCGGGCATTCTCACGCAGGTGCTAACGGTTAGCTCCCAATCCAGATACTAGGGCTCTCGTGAGAACCAGGCTGGTATCTCGGTAATAGTTCTCAAGTTTTTTATCAAATATGTGTCTTTAGAAAAAATCAGTTGTACAACATAACAAAAATTTGTTTTCCTCCTTAACCTGGATTAACTTTTCTTTATAGATTATGACTTGCCTATCTTTATTTTGAGCTTTATTCATTTCCTATTTTATAGGGAGGAAAATCAGATGCAGAATTTCAAAATATGCGCAATGATCTATCTGTTGAGCAATTGAAAGATATGCAACTGAGACAGATGGAAGCGAAGGAAATTCTCAGGATGAAAGAAGAAGAAGGGAAAATAGAAAAAGTTTCAGAAGATTCTGACACCGGAATCTCATGGGGAATGGGTAAAGTACTGTAAAGTCTTCTTTAAAATGACAGCCATCGTAATATTTAAACATGTAACTAGTTAAGTATAAGGAAGCTTGTGTCCGCCTCCCTAGTGACCCCTCTGAAATTTTCGAAGCAAGAAAAAAAACACTCAAGTAATTAATAGTCACCCTATATCAAATTTTTTTTGCCCCCTCAATAATCATCGAGCCCTCTTCCCCTCCCCACGCCCAATCCTATCCAAATAATCCTATATATGCCACTGCTGGTTATAGAAGTTTCAATGTATTGTAATTTTTTTTTAAATCAAATTTTTGTTCTTTTAAAAATTACAACAGCTGAAGATGCAGATGCAGAGTCTGATCTATCCCACAATCCATTTGCATTGGATGCAGATGACGATAAAGAAGCTCCTTACCTAAAGGATCCGAAGAAGGCGCTACGAGGGTTTTTCGAAAGAGAGGGTAAGTAGAAATAGGAGTTGATATTGATGATTTTTATTGTTTTTTATCATCACCAAAATCTTCATCATCTTAATCCTTATCTTTATGTGAATCTTCACCATTATCCTAGAATCCCTATCATCATTGTCACCACCACCATCACCATCATCATCATCATAATCATAATCATCATAATCAATATTAACATCTTCATAAGCAGTGATCATCATTGTCACCATCAACACCAACACCATTGTCATCATTACTACATTGCCACCACTACCACTTCTAGCATCATCATTCAACAGTGATTATCATTCTCACCATCTCCACCACCACCATTATTACCGTACCACCATTATTGTCACCCCCACCACTACTACTATCATCAGCTAACATTGATTGTCATTGTCACCATCTCTACCACCATCACTATTATCACCATTATTGTCACCGCCACCACTACTACTATCATCAGCTAACACTGATTATCATTGTCACCATTTCCACCACCATCACTATTACCACCATCATTTTCACCACCGCCACTACTACTATCATCAGGTAACAGTGATTATCATTATCATGATGCTTCATGGTAAATGATTAGAATTCAAGTAATAAACCAAATGTTTATCTGTTTGTATCTCAGGGAATGAGCTTGAATACAAGGTTGAAGAAATGGGAATTGGTAGAAGTCATCAGTACATATGCAAAGTTCTGTAAGTGGTCTTCTGTCTTTTCAAAATCAAACATTTATTCAAAAGAGTACCTAAATTTTTGGCTTGATTGATACAATTTTTCTATGTAAATAACATTAAATTCTGGTGGGTTTTTATGAAGGGAAACTACATCTCCACTACTTAAATTTACCAAATTCCTCACGTTCATTATACACCCCCCCCCCCTTGCCTATATTTACTTGTTTGTTATAGCTCTTTTACTTGCAGTTATGAAGCTTTCTGACATTTTTCTTACTCTTCAGGCTTCCCCTGGATGATCCTAGTGGAAACCCTATTGTAGCGGAGGCTGCTGTGTCTGGTAAAAAGAAGGAAGCTGTGTTAGCTTGTGCACTAGAAGCTTGCAAGATCCTAGACCGGCATGGAGTACTAAGGCAGGCTAAACATGGTATGCTCAATTATAATCAAGCAGGGGTGGCAACAGGATTTGCCCGACGGGGCCTGATGTTTATGACAGGGGCCTATTTCCCCAACAAGACTGTAAGTGGGTGTGGTTGGGCTTCAATATCTTGGAACTGTTCCAGGGGACGAAGTCCTCGGAAACAATGACAATTTGGGTGTATTAAATCGGTTTTAAAGTCTACTAAAATGTATCACCCGACTATTTGTGTCTTATTTCTCCATTTTTTTTTATAATTTTGAAAAATTTTGCGAGAGTGGGGTTCCAGGCTGGCTGCCCACCCCCCCCCCACCCCAATTTAAATCTGAATTATTAGAGAATACTTTTTGTTGAGTGTTAACGATGTCATACCCCAGAGCCTCATAGGTTCGAGACTGATGGAAAGATTGATCAATCCACCACTGGTTGTACATTGTGTTTTTATTTTTTTTATCTGTTATAGAAAGTAAAAAGAGGAAGAACAAAAACTGGGCTGAAGATGATTACTATGACAGTGACGATGATACATTCTTAGACCGAACTGGAGAAATAGAAAAGAAAAGATTAAAACGAATGCAGAAAGCAGGAGCAGAAAAACAGGAGCTGTTAACTTACGATAAACTGGTAGGCAAGCATTCTTTTAATATTTTTTATCCAGTTGGGTGTTTTGTATGCTCTCCATGTTATGGAGGTCATCACAGCATGACCAAGTTTAGAGTGAAATATTTATATATTTTTTGTTTTATTTGCATTAATATAACATCACATGATACATAAGGTACACTGAATGCAATAAAATGTTGTCATCACTCTTTCAATTAGACATTTAAACAAAATACAGTGAATGTAATACATTATTTTTTTCCTTCTTCCCTTCTTATCTTCTTTTCTTTTTTTTTCTTTTTTATTAAATTAAAGAAAATACTGCAACCTATTAAAATGTAAGACTGCAACTTTAAATTAACAATAAATTTTACATTAAATGCATTAATGACACAAAATAATATATTAAAATTAAAACATTTGATACATGGAATAAAAAAGAACTCCTAAACTAGAAAAAGAATGACCAGTTAAACGCTGTTGAATCATTTTTTTATTTGGTTATACCGATTGTTCTAGAAAAGCCCACTTTTCATTAAATATATCACGTCTCTCTATTGTAATTCACTACAATATCATGCTTGATTTGTCTAAGCTTACAGCTCAAATATTTGATGCATAAATTTATCAATAAATTTTGGGTCTCAATTAATACATACACATGGTCAGCTTGTACACAGATGGTATTCAAGATGTTGAGGAAGACTGTTTTGCAGTTTCCATTCTGCTTACTGAACTAGCGATCGGGTGTTCAAATAACTATTAACCTTTCTTGGCCAGCCATGCGCAGATACCCCAACTTGCATTGTTCACAGGCTTTGAAGTGGTTCATGCTATGTTCCAACCCTAGATGGAAACATTTCCTTGCTTATTATATAATTGCACTATAAACATAAATAACCCCTTAACTGGGTGAAATCTACTTTTTTTAGATCATTTTTGGTACCACCAGATTCTTGCCCTTGAAGAGATTTGATTAACATTATTATTGTCTTTGCTTTTCTATTTATGAAATTTAGTTGCTACAGCTCCAAGATGTTGAAAAAGAGATGAAAAAAGCTGAGGAGAACTTGGCAATTATGGCTCAAGGTGAGAAATAATATATAATAATGTAACCATCGTGGTCAGTCTAGGTTTCAAGCAGTGTCATAGCAGCTATGAGCTCTGGCTTGCTAAACCAGACCTTATAAGGGGCCTTGGATATTCATCACCTTTTTATGTTTTGCCCCACATCAGTCAAGCTGGGCCTTTTTAGGAGCAGAACTTGTAAAAAAAGACATAAAATTACTGTACATCCTTAAAACATAAAAATCGCCACAGCTAGGGGTCTATTCCATACCACTCTGGGCTATCTGCCCTAACCCAGCTCTCATTGTCACTAAGACCGAATAAGCCTTTGTCCAGGGGCATCCGGTCTCCTCACTATGCCACTTGTTTTGGGGTTGAGATAACATATTTAGATTATTTTTAACAGATGAGTTATAAGATGACCTTTAACCTGTTTAACATAGGTTCAATTCTTCCAAAAAAAATCAATGGCAATATCCAATTTATTCAGGTTAAAGTAAAGGCTAATAACATCACAATAGCTATGAACTTTCGCTGGCTTATGCCAAGGGCCCAGCCTTTGGAGAGCCCCAGGATATTTATCAGCATTTTTTACCCATAAATTGGCCGTACAGGGCCTTTTTGAGGAGCACTAACGTGTATATAGAAACATCAAAATATTTTCTAAATTATCAAATACAAAGTGGATAGGGCTTTTTCCCCGAGGCTGTAGTGCCCCGAAGAAGCCTTAGCTTTCTTTGCTATGTCGCTGTGCTTATTTACATTTTTGTGTATTTTAAGGTAAAATGGAGCATATGCCTGAGGATTCATTAGACGCTTTCATGGACTCCATTAAATGTGGCTTTAAAGATAGAAACCAACGTGCTAAGCTAAAACTAAGACTTGTGGATCTCCGAAAGGAAGAAATGAAATTAAAGAAGCTAATAAACATCGCAAAACCTGCTAAAATGCCTGAAATAAAAAGGTAAGACAAGTGCTGGCTACTTAAAAAACAGAAAATCATTCTATATTACAAACCTCCCAATTACGAACTTTGTATTTTTTATGAACGCAATTTGTGGTGAAGACATCAAAACTAACAATCTTTTCTCACTACAGAAACACTTAAAATTGAATTTAACAATCTTCAAAAATAATATAAAATCTCAAGTCAATCAAGAAAATTCAAATTTTTAGTTTGAGGGTGCCACTTCCAGCCATCTAGAAGTGCCATAGATATAACATTTAATACCTCAGCTCCAGCCATAGTGGGTGGAGCTGAGATGGTCTAGACCCTTCATCTGTAAAATTAACCTTCTGGGCCCCTCTATTTCAAAATTTTCTTGATCCACCGCTGCTATTGGCAATTCTTTCCCAATAATATAAAACTAGTTCTTGAAATCTCGAAAGCTCCATTGAGGGCAGTATAATAGAGGCAGTATTGGCCCTGAAGGCCACCCATACAAAAAAATTCTATTAATCAGTTAGCCCAGTGTTTCTAAGGCTCATCATCGGAGCTGGAAAAATAATGAATAAAAGGGATAGTGAAGACAGCAGCAAAGAATAGAAATGAATGTTCCAAATGTTTTCTCAGTTTCTTGTCAAACTTTGTGTTCTTTACAGCTCATTCGCAGGTGATGGTATTAGCAGTGAAACCAAACCTAAGATGCAAGCCATGATCGGAAAGATGCATGGAGCAAAGAAATTTAGGTTTGCAGTAAGTACATTTAAATCTAACACTTCTATACATTATAAATCTATATTATTTGTGTTTATTTATTAAATTTATTCATTTGCAGCATTCATTTACTCATATAATCATATCTTCATTCATTTACATATTCTTTCTGGTGGATAGAATATTACATATTCATGAGCTATTTTTGTTATATCCTCAGTTTTAATTAAATATTTACTTGTTTTTTTGTTATAAGATATGTATTTTCTTATACAGTTGAACTTGCCTATGTCAAATCCAAAATGGCATTGAAAAATTGTTCGACTTAGATAAAATTTGACTTACAACTCATTATTTAATGGAAAACGCAACAATTTGACATGTAAAATAAGATCGACTTAGAAATTATTTTGAGTTAGGTAAAGTCGACTTAGACAGGTTTAACTGTAATAATTTGTAATTGTAGCCATTGGTAACCAAGGTTCCCACTGTTACGGTGTCATCACCAATGGAACAAGAAGAAGAGGAGGAGGATGAAGAGGAATATGGTGGAGAAAAAAATGTAAATAAGATGGAAGTCGAGGAAGCAGAATGCCAACCAGATTCTAACCAATCGCGGAGCCAATCACGGAGCAAAAGTGATGATGACCCAGCTAACATTCATGTAAGTACTCAGTATTTTTATGGTCTTTGTATCACTAAGGCGAGACTCTTTTTATACCTTGTTTAGCGAACCTGTGGCCTGAAAATACTGATGATTTTTTTTTAATTATTATTTTTGGCAAATTAGCGCACCCGCCGCCACAAAAAATGGAAATTTCTAAAAATAATATAAGTTTTTCTTTATTTTTATTACGCCCACCGCTGCCTTGAAATCTAAAAAAAATAAGATTTGTATATTTCTTCATAATTACTGTATATAAATTAAAAGCATTTTACCATCCCATTACTACACTGTTAATTTTCTCCTCCGTCTGGATGTTTTTGGAAAAACTATTTGCTTAATATACTTTTATTTTTACTTTTTTTCCCGCCCTCCTCTGACCATCTTTAAAAAGTAAGTTTGTGAAAAAATGTATAGATAAAAAAGTCTCGCATAATTATAAACAATATGATGTGATTTAATTACAATATTATTTTTATTTTAATGAAGTTCAAAGAGTGTATTCTAGTTGTCTATACACATGACAGGGCCATGTAGGATAGGGCCATATATGGATTTACAATTGGGGTTTGGGGAATACCTGGAATTCCCCACGGCATCAAGGTAGGATAGAAGCTTAGTTATCGTACGGGTTCCAAAGCCTTTAATCATTGTCAACCTCCCCTACACCTTACCCCCTTTGATACAGGCCTGCATGTAAATTGAAAGGAAAGAATAATGTATGAGAATAAGAATGAAGATATGTAATAGGTATTGAATAATGTGGATTAGTATAAAGATGAGAAAGAGAAATGTTGATGAAATATAAGAATGAGTCAAGATGAGGACTATAAGTAGGACCACTTCCAAATTTCTATGTTAATGAGGGCAATTACATTTAAACTATTACTTCTCTCTGTTTACAGACCTCAGAAAGTTTCAACTATTCCACACAATCTGAAAATCATGAAGTCTTGTCAAGCTTGCCATCACATTTAACAAAGGGCTCTTCAAGTGGCACTGAACTGTCAAAGTTATCTACTAAAGGACCCTCACTACCACCAATTAAAGGACCAGTTTTTCGTCCCAGAGTTTCTGCAGCATCGTTACCTAAGGGACCATTTTTGCCTTCAGGCTATAATGATGAGGTAGAAGAAGAGGATGAAGATGAGGAGGAAGAAAGAAAACCAATGTTGTACACAAAAAAGACTAAGGTGACAGAAGAAGCTACAGACGAAGATATTAGTGACTGGGTTCCACCCAAAGGTAACCAGAAGTTTACTCATCATCATCATCACCATCGGTGTCGGTATCGTCATCATCATCATTAACATCATTATCATCATCAACATCGTGGTCTCCATTCTGTTACATCTTTTTCTCCTCTATAGACCTTTCCGTAGTGTCAATCAAACTTATCAACTGGCCAATCAAAACAGCGCTAGGGATACGCGCGCATCTCACAAACACATATGTTGTCTCACAAACGCACGTGTTCGCGTATGTTTTAACACTGTCGCCTTATGGGACCTTGGCAACAATATCCAAGGGGCAAGGCTTAGCGGAAAGGTCCATTGGCTGTGGAACTTGCTATAATATAGCCATATTATGGCTAGCCCACTGATGTTCCTCCATCATACTTCATGAATTATATCTGCAAATTTTGTTTAGCTTTCTAATCCATTCGATTCGATCTCTATTACTAGTATTATTTTTTTTATTATTGTTATCATTGGTAGAATCAGAAAAAATTTGATTTAAGATATTGAATTCCTGATTTATGAAATAAGCTATTAACTTTAATTGAAACTTTTTATTGTGACAATCTTTATGTGGATTATCAGAAAATGTAATGTTTGATGCGAAATGTATAGTACTGTAATTTTAATGCATCAGCCAAATTAGCAATAACCTCCTTCTTAATGAATATTATTCCTTAAGTTTGTTTTTTTAACCACAGACATTGTATCTTTGATGTCAGATCTGGTTGGCGGTGATGGTGTAACCCAATACTTTGATGCTAGCTTGGTGTATTTTTGTTTTATTTTTCCATTTTTTAGTTTTCTTTCGTACTTTTTGTTGAGTGCACAGACACCTCATTTATTTCCGTTGTGTAACTTCATCTATTATTATTATTATTATTATTGTTATTATTATTAGTATTATCATTATTGTTATTATTATTAATATCATTATTGTTATTATTATTACTATTATTGTTATTATTATTATTATTTTTATTATATTGTATGAAATTGATTTCCTGTCTTGTGTTTTATTTCAGGTCAAACAGGGGATGGCAGGACAAGCTTAAATGACAAGTTTGGATATTAATTCTTCGCAAGCAACAGTTTATAGTAAAACAAATTTGCAGAAGTAATAGAGGGATTTAGCGATGACTCTTTACAGGCTGTCACGTGACCTAACTTGGGTGTACATGAAAAACATTACAGTGCGATAGCATAGGAAAAGGTAAAGTTATGGTTGCCAAAACAATTACCCACTGTTAACGTGAGAAGTAAATGGCTAGGAAAGGCAATACGATTGTCCAAAATAGTGTTTATTTACTTATCCTAGCGTTCTCCTTGGATTGTATCCTTTGAAATTTAAGTAATCCTTCATAAACCTTAGCTGGCCCTAACATCGCAGCAGAGTTCGCGGGTTGAAGACCATCATGCATACCTAACCATGCCATAGACATGCAGGGGCCTAGGCCTAACATTTGTCAAAAAATCTCAATGTTTGCGGACAGTATCCTTTATAGCATTAGCAAAACATTAAGGCGAAATTCTTAAGTTTAATTTCCAATCACTTTGGTATAGTTTACTGGGAATTCTGATGATCTTTACAGCAATAAACAAGGGACGGCCGCGATAAAAATCCTTGTTTCTCACTCAATGGTCAGTAGGGCGCTTTCAATTGCACGATGACAGGACGTAGAACGTAACAACGTCACTAAAAGTCATCTACGCATGCGAGAACGTTAAGGTCACCTCGTCGAGTAGATTCTGGAACACAATTTGGCCAAATCTTTGTATGCAGAGAACGTAGGTGGTCACACATGAGTGATTCCATTCTAGTGTCACATCGTCGCACAAATCGAAAGCTTCCTAATATAATTTTATATCAGATGATCAAGACAAATGACATGAAATGTCATCATGTGCAAAGTCACAAGAGGTTCTCATAATAAAAAGCAGTAGCGAATTGATATATCTTTAATTATAATCTTTTATGATTACTATCATTTTCTTTGACTGTATATTACACTACTGTACATTTTTTTGTAATAAAATTGCTATGAAATCACGAATATTAATTGGTGTATACAGTTTATTGTTTGGATTATATTTTTTGGGAAATGATATAAAACAAAGTACATGCAATCAACCAAACAGTGGCATAGGTATGGGTGTGCAGCCAGTGCAAAGCACTAGGGCCTGGGGCTGTTGGGGGCCCATTCAGTAGGCCTATAAATCTAAAAATGTAAGTTTAAAAAAATTCCTACTTAAATATTAAAAGGACCCCTTAATGGTTTTAGAGGCCATAACTAGTAATTATTATCAGTACAATTTACTTATCAGGTGCCACCAAATACTGCAAGTAGGATGACATTTTTACAAAAAAAAATTAATTAAAAAACAAGTCGTAAACAGCTTCGTAATGGACAGATACGCACTCGAGTCGAATAGGCGAGCTGTACTACTGGGGCGGATGTAGTATTTGGCGGTACTATAGGGGATGCGTCGGAGTTTGCACCACTTTAGCCCCACCATGATTGGGGCTGAGGTGGGAAAATGTTGAGAGTATGGACCTTTAAAATCTTACTGGTACTATATTTATATGATAAAAATAATATGTCAACAATACAATACAACAATTGTTTTTTTCTGAATACAATTTAGGGAGGTGCGATCGCACCCTTTCCACCCCCCCCCCCCAACCCTTGCATCCGCCCCAGAACTACAGCCTTAACATCAGCACTGGTTCCAGCCGCTCCTCGCCCAGGATTCGGTTGATTCAAGTCTTCTTGGCCAAGGACTTAAATAGAGATTCGGTGTACACATCTGGCTCGTGTACACTTTAAAGAACCCATTGCTTCTTTTAGAAGGGTAGGGGGTTACTCCAATGCTATGGTTCATTTACGACCTGGTCGTTGTGGAATGATGTGAACATGTACAGCTACTGCAAGCGCCTCTTTACGGTTGCTAGTCACAGACCACGCCCATACGCAATTCAGCACAAACAATGACACTGCGAGATATGGGTTATTCTTTATGTGTTACATACATTCAAGATTATTTTCTTTCATTCGGGTATTTACGTATGTTCTACGGTACAATACACTACAATATTTTTTGAAAGCATAGTCGCTATTTCTAAAGCTATTGAAATATCGGCACGTTTTTGTTTTATTTTAAAGATGGTTCAACTATATTGTGCACGTTCTTGAATCACATCGGGTCATTATACTTCATGAGTACGTTTAAGATTTACTTCACAGCTAGGTTGGTGATTGTTCTATTGTTGTCAATATTACACTTTATCAACGACTCATAAAATGACAATGAAATATATGACTTGACCATTATTTTGCTCTCAATATCCTTGAAAATTTTGAAAATTTTATAGATCTGCAAATTACAATGCCATACTTCAGAAAAAAAAGATGAATGTCCACTCTTTGGAAATTGTCTCACTTCATCCATCATCTACAAAGCCACTGTCCACTCAAATAATGACACAAAATGTTACATCGCGGGCTCACTGACACACTGTTCAAAACCCGATACACAAACCACAAATACACTTTCAACGCCCCCAAACACAGAAACAGCACCATACTCTCCAACAGTGGCGTCGAGAGGGGGTGGGTGTCAGGGGGGTCGCTGCCCCGGGGCCCGGGTCTACTGGGGGCCCGGACCAAGATGAAAAATTTTCGGGGTAAGAACAAAATCTCCATCTCCATCTTCAGTGTGCTTGCAAGAGTGAAATATGTTTTGCGATCGACAATGTGCCAAAATCGACTGACAAGTTTAGGAACTCTTTCCATAGAAGCATCCCTGGCAAGACAGTTAGATTTTGACTCCATCATTGAACTGTTTGCTGCTGCCAAAGCCCGCAAAGCTCCATTATCTGAGTAGATAGTAATTACTTGTGATTTCTTGTAAATTCCTCTTAAGGTAAGTGAAATAAAATATGATACTGATCTTAATCTTTATTATTGATTTCATTTGTACCTCTCACTGCATGCAAAGTGGTATGTATATACGTGTATTATATATATATTATTATTATCATTTATTCATCAGATTATTCTGATACATCTACATTGCAAAAAAATAATCACATGGAATCATATTCATGTATGTGGGTTTGGATAAATAGGGTCTTAGGAGGAGAATTAATTTGGGGAGCGGCCGAGTGGGGGGTCCAAGTGAAGGGGGCCCCCAAGTGAAGGGGGCCCCCCATGTGAGGTGTTTCCCCGCGGCCCTTACTGGCTCTGGACGCCACTGCTCTCCAAATACGTATGGAAATTAAAAGACAGCAACACACCCTACAATATCAAATGGTCTATTATCGACAGAGCATCGGCTTACTCCCCAAAAACAAAATGCTGCAACCGAGAAACTTCACATAATATATTCAGGCAGTCAATACTAAACAGTACAGCTATTGTCTAAATGCAGGCGTAACAACAAATACTTAAAAACAATTAACTCATTTGCATTTTTACCTGCCTTAGCATTCATATACTCACAGAGTCCTTTTATTATCTCACTCCTGAAGATTGCATTAGCATGAAACAGTCTGTAGAGTGATTGGTTATACTAAGTTTTACAAGTTCTACATTTACAATATTTACGCTCTGCATTATCACGTGTATCGTGCACTGTACATTGCTAGTATTGCCAACTACATTTATTCATTATACATTACAAGGATTGCATACGTTGACATAATAGAGACAAAATATATTCAAGACGAATATTTCGGACACGCTTGTGTCCTTCTTCAACGTTTACACGTATGAGCATGGAGGAGATATATTAAGATATATTATTAATATATTTGTTCCATGGTATAAGTGAGAAACAACACAGAACAGATCAAAATAAATACTGTAAGGAATTAACCAAGTTAAATCGTAAGATAATGGGCACGCATAGAGAAGTGATTAATAAACCACCATGGTTGGGCTGAAGTGATGGAAATCACTAGCATACATCCTTAAGCACTGTCTGCATATGTTCAAGCCATACTTTCGGATAAGACCATACCTATTGCCACATACACGGCATGTAGGCCTAGTAAAATTCATCATCACACATCACCTTTATAGTCAAAATGAAGTGCCAACAAATTTCTCATGACCTTTTATCAGCGACTTTCGGCAGCCAATTAATAGGCCTATGAGTGATGGCCATAGAAAGTAAAACTTAAAACATTGTCTTTGATGTATTTACTTTACTTTACCTACTTAAAAGCCATGAATCCACACCCACCCCAGTCCTACCTCAGCGATTTTCGGCTACCATAGAGATCTAATTAATCTTTTGTACTATAGAATATAAAACTTATTGTCTTTGATGTATTTACTTTACCTACTTTGTGTGCCGAAAATCTACTTTTCGGCACACAAATACTTTTTCTCATACTTCTCAAATTATAACAAAAGAACGCGCACTCGAGTCGTGTATTGTAGGTAATTCAGACGTAGCGATACCGGTGTCTTACTATAATATAAAATGTACAGTACTACTCGGGCTGTACAACCTGGGTAATTTTGTGCAGTTCATTTCAACAACTTTCAGGCATCATATTTACTTATGAAATTACATTGCAGTCGAAACATGGGGGGGGGGCCCAATCCCCCATAAAAATATTGGAGGGACGTGTCTTCCGCCCCACCCCCTTCCAGGATCTGTGCCCATGTATCATTATGATATCTCGTCTGCCATTGCCATATCGCCCCAGCCATTGGCTCAACCATACTTTTCCCATAGGCAATTCACTGTTATGTTGGTGACTATTTACGATTTAATTTTACAAAATTTTATTGAAACTTACTGTATTTGAGCCACGTAAACCATTTTTAAAACTCAATTCATCTCAAGTACAGACGTTATGTTGTAACATTCAACAATAATTAAATTGTGTCAAAACTCATGAAGCTCCTAATTTATATATGGTCAGTTAATGTGTTTTTCAGTTAGTTCAGTTTTTGTAAAATTTAGCTAAAATTATTCTATCGACAAAACTCGTCTTACACTAAATTATATCCGTAATATGCTGGTAGCTTGTTTATTATTTGCAAGCTAAGATTATTAATGCTCATTATTAGGCCCTAATGGTAATGATAACGCAGATGAAGGCAGACGAGATATCATACTGATACCAATATTAGCGGTATCACGGATATATAATGTTTAATAACTCAACGGCAATATGGAGATATGGGCACGTGGGAATGTACCATTTGGGAACAATTGCATGATGAAGATAACAATGCAAACATTAATTAATTACAAGATAAATAAAAGAATGAATATCTCAAAATTAATTTAACATTTAAATAGGCCTACATCAAACAATAAGTGAAAATGAAAAAAAAAACACAGACAACATTAAAAAGTAAAATTGAAAAACATTAAAAATGTAGTCTACAGTGCATAATGTTTAAAAGTGTTTTTACATGGCTTATAAAAAATGATGATGTTTCCAATTTTTTTAAATTGTCAATTTTTTGATATTGTGTTAATTAAGCTTGTAAACTTTTAAAGAATAGGATAGGGAGTTTACTTTTGTAACGAAAGAAGAGAATGAGACGTAATTAATATATTATTCTTTTCAGTATTTAAGATAGATGAAGGTATTCGGTATTCATCATAATAATGATGATGATATGGTGAGGATGATGATGACTATGGTGATGATGACGATGATAATAATATAAACGTATAGATATACTCCTTCATTTCCAGTAACTCGAATTACTAGTGGCTGGTTTACTTATTTATATATGGTCAGAAAATTAATGTATTTTTCAGTTCAGTTTTTGTAAAATTTAGATAAAATTATTGTTTCGACAAAACTCGTCTAACACTAAATTATATCAGTAATATGTTGGTAACTTGTTTATTATTTGCAAGCTAATATTATTAATGCTCATTATCAGGCAATAATGCTAATGACAACGCGGATATAGGCAGACTAGATATCATACTGATACCAATATTAGCGGTATCACAGATACATAATGTTTAATAACTCAACGGCAATACGGAGATATAGGCACGTGGGAAAGTACCATTTGGGAACAACACATGATTCCCCTTTATCTGGCTACTGAGAAAAAAAAAACCCTAATTGAAATGTTTAAGAGCAAGATATGACTATCCAATTTAGTGATATCTTACAAATGACGTGTTCATGCTTATCAACGTTCAGTCCTTACTGTAGCAGCAACATAATTCATAAGTACTAGGCCTATATAATGGAATTAACAGCAGAAAAACGACAAGGTAAAAATAAGCCACGTTTTTAAAAAAACGCTCATAGTTTTTGTCGAAATTGGGCGAGTTTTCCAACCACCTACGAATCACCACGCACCCCTCCCCCACAAGTAACTTGTGCCACATGTTAATTAATTATAAGAGCAGTAACGTTCATTTAATTTGTTGATATTGTCAATTAAGCTTGTGAACATTTAAAGAATAGGATAGGGTTTTTAACGAGAGAAGAGAATGAGACATAATTAGGATATTATTCTTTTCAATATTTAAGATAGATAAAGGTATTCTGTATTTATCATAATAATGATGATGATACGATGATGGTGATGATGATGATGATGACTATGGTGATGATGAAAATGATGATGATGATAATATAAACGTATAGATATACTCCTTCATTTACAGTAACTCGAATTACTGTGGCTGGTTTAACATTTATATATGGTCAGAAAATTAATGTATTTTTCAGTTA